TTAATTGCAGTCACAGAGCAATTGAACATCTCATAAACATGCGCATTAAAGACACATAAAGGAACTAGAGTTCAATCACTTTCGCACCAATTAATTCAATAATACCGAAAAATATGATGAAAAACTTTGTACACTTTTTTGTATTACCTTTCTATATATAACATCTCATTTAGAAAATGTTATTATAAAATAATTTTATAGTAAATACAGATGTCAGAAAAATTAAAAACAAACAAGGGAGACATAAAGACATATTTTGACTTTTGTCACCTAAATAAATTGAATTAACTAAAAGTAACGCATTGTAAAATAAATTTGTTGTTTGTATACTTAATTAGCGGTAAAAAATTAATTTAATACTTTTTAATCAATTAATTACATATTTATTACAGTTTTGAGAATAATTACAAATTTATTGTACAATGTGACGTTCTTTTTGGGTGACGCCCTTTTCTTAGTGGCGTCACTCATCAGGTGTTGACACGCGTCATATTTTTTTCAAAAAAAAACTAATAATTTCATCATAAAACTTTTGAAGGACGTAACTTTTGACTCGGGTATCCAAATCAGGTAATTCTTTTTTTGATTCCACATAACTTTTTGACATCTACGCAATGACATCTCATTTGATATATTTTATTTTTCACGAACACAATTTTAATTTGCAAAAATGGTATTATAAAAGCAGTTAAACCCAGAAGCCTCTGAATTCTGGTTTTGTGATTTAATATAAAAAATAAATAAAATTTTGATTTGTGATTTTAATTTTTTTTATTATAACAAAAATTTGGTTTGTGATTTACATTAAAAATAAAAATAAATATTATTATTAATGAGGAAAACAAAATAAAGATTTGATTTGAGATTTAAACTAAAAAATCAATTTGAAAAATCTGTGGAAATAAAGGAAATAATTAAATAAATATTATAAATCTCTAAGGAAGAACGATATTATTTTTGAAATTAATGATTGGTGCTATAAGCTTCTTAGTTATTATTCGTGGTCTGAAATTAATGATGGCTTATGAATGTTTTTCAAAAATAAAATTACTTAAATTAGGCATGATTGCCTCTTGATTGAAACTCAATTTATGAATGATTGGTGTTGACACGTGTCACATATTTAAACTCAGAAGCCTCTTAGTTTTGCGTTTGTGATTTAATATAAAAAATAAATCAAGATTTGATGTGTGATTTAATTTAAAAAGTTATGAGGAATCAAAAAAAGAATTACCTGATTTGGATACCCGAGTCAAAAGTTATAGCCTTCAGAAGTTTTATGATTAAATTAATTTATTTTTTTTGGAAAAAAAATATGACACGTGTCAACACCTGATGAGAGACGCCTAAATGAGACGTTTCCCCTAAGGATGTGACGCCTTAAAGGGGCGACACATTGTGTAACAAATGTGTAATTATTCCCAAAACTGTAATAAATATGTAATAATGGAAGTGATTTTTATAACATTTCACGAGAGGATCCACTCTCCTTAATCACTTTTGTGGCTAATTGTGTTAATGATATTAATTGTGGTCATATTAATTGCAGTCACAGAGCAATTGAACATCTCATAAACATGCGCATTAAAGACACATAAAGGAACTAGAGTTCAATCACTTTCGCACCAATTAATTTAATAATACCGAAAAATATGACGAAAAACTTTGTACACTTTTTTGTATTACCTTTCTATATATAACATCTCATTTAGAAAATGTTATTATAAAATAATTTTATAGTAAATACAGATGTCAGAAAAATTAAAAACAAACAAGGGAGACATGAAGACATATTTTGACTTTTGTCACCTAAATAAATTGAATTAACTAAAAGTAACGCATTGTAAAATAAATTTGTTGTTTGTATACTTAATTAGCGGTAAAAAATTAATTTAATATTTTTTAATCAATTAATTACATATTTATTACAGTTCCGAGAATAATTACAAATTTGTTGTACAATGTGACGTTCTTTTTGGGTGACGCCCTTTTAAGGCGTCACCCCTTAGTGGCGTCACTCATCAGGTGTGGACACGCGTCATATTTTTTATCCAAAAAAAACTAATAATTTAATCATAAAACTTTTGAAGGCCATAACTTTTGACTCGGGTATCCAAATCTGGTAATTCTTTTTTTGATTCCACATAACTTTTTGACATCTACGCAATGACATCTCATTTGATATATTTTATTTCTCACGAACACAATTTTAATTTGCAAAAATGGTATTATAAAAGCGGTTAAACCCAGAAGCCTCTGAGTTCTGGTTTTGTGATTTAATATAATAAATAAATAAAATTTTGATTTGTGATTTTAATTTTTTTTATTATAACAAAAATTTGGTTTGTGATTTAAATTAAAAATAAAAATAAAAATTATTATTAATGAGGAAATCAAAATAAAGATTTAATTTGTGATTTAAACTAAAAAATCAATTTGAAAAATCTGTAGAAATAAAGGAAATAATTAAATAAATATTATAAATCTCTAAGGAAGAAGGATATTATTTTTGAAATTAATGATTAGTGCTATAAGCTTCTTAGTTATTATTCGTGGTCTGAAATTAATGACTGCTTATGAATGTTTTTCAAAAATAAAATTACCTAAATTAGGCATGATTGCCTCTTGATTGAAACTCAATTTATGCGTGATTGGTGTTGACACGTGTCACATTTTTAAACTCAGAAACCTCTTAGTTTTGCGTTTGTGATTTAATATAAAAAATAAATCAAGATTTGATGTGTGATTTAATTTAAAAATTTATGAGGAATCAAAAAAAGAATTACCTGATTTGGATACCCGAGTCAAAAGTTATAGCCTTCAGAAGTTTTATGATTAAATTAATTTATTTTTTTTGGAAAAAAAATATGACACGTGTCAACAGCTAATGAGAGACGCCTAACTAAGACGTTTTCCCTAAGGATGTGACGCCTTAAAGGGGCGACACATTGTGTAACAAATGTGTAATTATTCCCAAAACTGTAATAAATACGTAATAATGGAAGTGATTTTTATAACATTTCACGAGAGGATCCACTCTCCTTAATCACTTTTGTGGCTAATTGTGTTAATGATATTAATTGTGGTCATATTAATTGCAGTCACAGAGCAATTGAACATCTCATAAACATGCGCATTAAAGACACATAAAGGAACCAGAGTTCAATCACTTTCGCACCAATCAATTTAATAATACCGAAAAATATGATGAAAAACTTTGGACACTTTTTTGTATTACTTTTCTATATATAACATCTCATTTAGAAAATGTTATTATAAAATAATTTTATAGTAAATACAGATGTCAGAAAAATTAAAAACAAACAAGGGAGACATAAAGACATATTTTGACTTTTGTCACCTAAATAAATTGAATTAACTAAAAGTGACGCATTGTAAAATAAATTTGTTGTTTGTATACTTAATTAGCGGTAAAAAATTAATTTAATATTTTTTAATCAATTAATTACATATTTATTACAGTTCTGAGAATAATTACAAATTTGTTGTACAATGTGACGTTCTTTTTGGGTGACGCCCTTTTAAGGCGTCACCCCTTAGTGGCGTCACTCATCAGGTGTGGACACGCGTCATATTTTTTTCCAAAAAAAACTAATAATTTAATCATAAAACTTTTGAAGGCCATAAGTACTTTTGACTCGGGTATCCAAATCAGGTAATTCTTTTTTTGATTCTACATAACTTTTTGACATCTACGCAATGGCATCTCATTTGATATATTTTATTTCTCACGAACACAATTTTAATTTGCAAAAATGGTATTATAAAAGCGGTTAAACCCAGAAGCCTCTGAGTTCTGGTTTTGTGATTTAATATAAAAAATAAATAAAATTTTGATTTGTGATTTTAATTTTTTTTATTATAACAAAAATTTGGTTTGTGATTTAAATTAAAAATAAAAATAAAAATTATTATTAATGAGGAAAACAAAATAAAATTTTGATTTGTGATTTAAACTAAAAAATCAATTTGAAAAATCTGTAGAAATAAAGGAAATAATAAAATAAATATTATAAATCTCTAAGGAAGAAGGATATTATTTTTGAAATTAATGATTAGTGCTATAAGCTTCTTAGTTAATATTCGTGGTCTGAAATTAATGATGGCTTATGAATGTTTTTCAAAAATAAAATTACCTAAATTAGGCATGATTGTCTCTTGATTGAAACTCAATTTATGCGTGATTGGTGTTGACACGTGTCAACACCTGATGAGAGACGCCTAAATGAGACGTTTACCCTAAGGATGTGACGCCTTAAAGGGGCGACACATTGTGTAATAAATGTGTAATTATTCCAAAACTGTAATAAATACGTAATAATGGAAGTGATTTTTATAACATTTCACGAGATGATCCACTCTCCTTAATCCCTTTTGTGGCTAATTGTGTTAATGATATTAATTGTGGTCATATTAACTGCAGTCACAGAGCAATTGAACATCTCATAAACATGCGCATTAAAGACACATAAAGGAACTAGAGTTCAATCACTTTCGCACCAATTAATTTAATAATACCGAAAAATATGATGAAAAACTTTGTACACTTTTTTGTATTACTTTTCTATATATAACATCTCATTTAGAAAATGTTATTATAAAATAATTTTATAGTAAATACAGATGTCAGAAAAATTAAAAACAAACAAGGGAGACATAAAGACATATTTTGACTTTTGTCACCTAAATAAATTGAATTAACTAAAAGTAACGCATTGTAAAATAAATTTGTTGTTTTTATACTTAATTAGCGGGAAATATCTAATATTACATTAAACACACAAAAGAAATGTAGTAAATGATTCTATTTTTATATTACTATTTTTAAGACACTTATTATATCCCATAATTATGAGTAATTGAGGGAAGGGAAGAATCTAACGCTTCATCATCTCCATCTCTACATAACAAGAAACTCCCTATGCTTTTAACCATATATCGTTTGTTCTTAAATTATTGTATCAAACCATTGTGCCATTATGGTTTCGGTCTCCAGAATTATGTTACCACTCTCTATGTTCTTAACCATACTTTTGGCTTCAAAGTTCAAGGCTGGTGAGAGTGGAATTTTTACTGACAATGTGAAAGTTCTAATCACCAACAAATTAACTAATATGTTGCTCGGTCTTCATTGCAAAGACAAGAATCATGATCTTGGGTTTCAAGTATTGCAGGTTGGACAAACATACAGTTTCGAGTTTCAGATTACTTTGATATTGAATAAGCTGTATTATTGCAGCTTTAATTGGAGAACAGGTTCTCACTATTTTGACATTTATGATCAAGTGCGAGATAACTGCACTTTTTGTGTTTGGCATATTTATGCAACGGGACCATGTCTTGTTAGAAAAGATGATCTTGATTGCTTTCACTGGAACACAATAGCTCACGGAGGGAGGCATCTTAGTAAAGGGAATAACACTCTTGAAGTGTAACTTGTTTATTTTCCTATTGTACTTCTTCAGATTCAAGAATAATCGAATAATATTTCATGGATTGCTTTGATACATATTATGTTTATATGCCCGTTTTGTTTTTAATCTAGAAGTGATGAATCATTTGTTCGAATTCGTATTTTGTCTTGGGGAGCTTGCAGTGGCGGACCCAAATTTTTTTTTTGTGGGGGCTAAAAATTAAACATTTGTTCTCTCTTCAAATATAATATATGGAAGGCCAAAATACGAATAATTAAATATTTGTGCCTGTTTGAATTCTCTATTTTTTAAGTTAGAAGCTACTTGTAAGCATAAACTAAGCCAGACATGTTTTGAGAAAAGTTCTTATAACGAAAAACTCTTTTCTTTTTATAATGAAGAAAAATGTCGAAAGCTAAAAGTTCCTGGGAGGAAATTTTTTTTAAGCTCTTATCTGATTTTCTTGAATTATGTGTTTTTTTAAATGAAGAGTTATAAAGATAGATATAGAGATAATTTTCTTAAAATATGTGTTTTTAAGTAACTTTTAAATTAATTTTTTTTGTAATTACCAAACAGTTTTTAACTTTTCTTTAAGCTCTTTTTTTAGCTTTAGCTTATAAGTAGCTTCTAACTTAAAAATAAGAGGATTTCAAACAGGCTCTTAGAGTAATTTGTAAAAAAAAAAAAAAAAAAATGTAGACAGATCTTTTCCCATAATTTAAAACTAATTCCATATGCTAACTGTTACCACCGAGTCTGCGCCAACAAGAATTTGAACTGCACTCTTTGTTATTGTTATGTTCATTTCGTTAACTTTCGTTGAGGGAGAAAAATACATTAAGAGTTAGAGAAGTTTCAATAGATATAGGACCTGAGAATATAAAGAAGCTTTTATAAATTCTATGTGGGAGAAAACTACTTCACATTAATGGAGAGGGAAAATGGAAGTTTCTTGCATTATACTTATGTTAAAAAAAGTTCTTCAAATTTTTTTTTGGGGGAGGGGGGGCCGCCCACCCTAGCCCCTCCCTCGGTCCGCCCTTGGGTGCTTGCCCCACATTTATAACCCTAGGAAGAAAATATTGCGCTATAGGGTGTAATTAACCGAGTGTTACAGACAAGGTTGTTAAAATCGAGATCTTACTTAAGATCGAAAGGGAGTAAAAAAATCGTAAATCGTACGATCGACACGGATCGTAAGATCGATCCTATTATCTAAAATAAAAAATATTCATGTATATATATATATATATATATATATATATATATATATAATGAAACTTAAAGTCTTTGTAATATGGGTTTTATATTTCTCATGCAACATGAGAATTGAATTCTCATGTTGTAGAGACAAAAAACATGTGGGACCCATATGTTAGAAAAAAATTATATGTAGGACCCACGTTGGCACGAAAATCGAAGGGTGTGTAGAAAAATTCAAATTCTCATGTTAAATGAAAATTATAAAACCCTTGTAATATTTATCAAAACTCAATTGTCATAATAATAATATATTATAATTGTTATTGTAACAGAAAAAACATAAATCCATGTTCTCATTATAACTATTTTTTTTCCAATAATAATAAGATTGAGATATGTATCTTGAACGTTATCTATAAGTTTTCTATTTTTAAATACCAAATACTGTGAAATAAAAAAAATGCAATGTAAAGTTTTAAAACAGTAATTTAATCATTTAACATTTTCGTTCAATAATATTTGCTCTCATGAGCATGTGAAATAAAAAATTGAAAGAAATATATTTTATAAATTTGAATGATATCTGCTAATTTAAATAAATGAAAAATAAAAATTTAAGTAAAAATTTATAAATTTGAATAGAGGTAGGTTATACTTACAACCTTTTTTTACAACCTCTTATAATCATATCTTAACACCGTTGATTTTTGCCAATCAACGGTTATGATTTTCACAAATTAAAATCATTAGTTAATTATTAATTCACAATAAAAAATAATCATTGATTGATAGAAGTCACGGTGTTAAGATATGATTGTAAGAAGTTGTAAAAAAAGGTTGTAACTCCTCGTTTGAATAAGTTAAAAAAAGATTGCAAAGATAAAATTTGACACAATGGATAAGTGGACGTGTTGTACGATACTATTTCTCTTCTCTTTGGCTGTATTTCTCGCTAGTTTCTGCAAGATGCTTTCTCTGTCTTTAAGCTATTTTCTTTCTTCTCCCTCCGATTCTTTATTTCTTTGTTTCTCTCTTTCAATCACTAAATTAGTTAGCAAGTGGTTGTCTTCTTTGTGGATCTGGTCTCTGACGACAGCTACCCCTACCTCCAATGGCAGACATCTTTCCACTTCTCTTTCTCTCTCATTATCTGGTTTTTTTTTTCTAAATCGTTGGAACTGCAGAATCAAACGATGATTCCACCGATTTAACGCCTTTACCCATTTGAGTGAAAAGCGATTCCATATGCGATTTAGATCGGTAGAAGAAAAAATATCGTAATATCAAATGATCCAACGATTTTTCTCACGATTTTAATAACCATGGTTACAGATATTACATTAGACAAAAATAAATTGTAGCAAATGATTTTTTATTGAGCAGGGATCTTTTAATTTTAGTGTAAGATTAAAAAATCTTACATCCATTTGAGCTACAAATTTCCGTCCATCTAATAATTATAGTTTATTGAGAGTTATATATTTCAAATAAATTACAACCATTAGAGATTGAGATTAACAGCTGAAACATGGAATCAAACTAGTTACTCTTTTTCAAATAAACTAGTTACTCTTAGTAAAAAGATCACTCCTCTTATTTATTTATATTAATGAGTTTAATGTTAGAATTGAGATCAAATGAATTTAATGTTTGTTTAGTGAATTGAGATAAGTTACCTTTGACGAGTACAAAATGACCTTATTTTAAAGTTGAAAATATAAAAAATTATAATAAAAAAAACTAATATAATCAATAAATTAGAATTACAAAAATACATTTTTCTTATTTGAAAATGATGTCGTTTTATACTCGAGATAAATTGTCTCCATTTGCCGGAGAAACATTAATCCGGCCTATATTAATATATTCAAAGACATTTATTATTGACCATAATTACAATGTAATCGGGGGAAGGGATGAACTTGGCATTTCATCACGTTGGGTTATATATATCAAGAAACACTCTATGTTTTTAATCATCTGTTTTAAAATTATTGTTTTCAAGACACAGAAACTCATCTCCTTTCACTTATTGTATCAACCCACTCTGCAATGATGGCCTCCGTCTCCAAAATTACGTATTCTTTATGTTTTTCACCATACTTAGCTTTAATGTTCATGGATGGTGAGAGTTTCTCGTTTCCTATCAAAGTAAAATAACCAACAAATGACATGCGATGCAGCTCGGTCTTCATTGCAAAGAAAAGACCCGAGAGTCGAGACCTTGGGTTTAAAACACTATTGGAAGGACAATCATACCCTTCTGAGTTTGTGCCTCTCTCATTCGACAAAAGTTTTGGTACTTGGGAGTATAAAATTTTAAGTGGTCCAAACTAATAAAAATGTGATAACTAATTAGAAAAAAAAGACTAAAAAGAATTTTTTATATAAGTGTCAATTTCTCAATGGAAGTAGCACACGACGACCACTACAATCTTTTCTCTCTCTTTCTAAAGAACGGAATTTTTTATGTTCAATCTCGAGATGACTACTGCATTGATATATGTTCTTGGGAAATTTTTGAAACGGGACCATGTAAGAATAGCGGAATGTCTTGTACATGTTTTGAGTGGAACAAATCACTTCCAGGAGAGAGGCAACTTAGTGAGGGAAATAACACTCTTACAGTGTAACTTGTTTATTTTCTCATTGTATATACGTCTTGAGATTCTAGAATAATCTAATAAAATAAAGAAAAGTTTATATTTACAAATTTTTTATTTAAAAACTGTTACAAACTATATTATGTCTTACCGGTAAGACACTCTTAATTAAAGTCTTACCGATAAGACATAGTATTACGTGTAAAAAAAAAATTGTCTATTAAACTCTCCTCATAAAATAATATGCTAGTTTATTATTCACTTTTTTTTGGGGGGTGGGGTGGGGGGGCCATTTTAAAGAGACTAATATCTTCTGTGATGAAAAATGAGATTTTTATTGTAAATTAATTTTATATTTAACACAAATGCAAAAGAGGGCAAAATGAAATAAAAAGAGAGTTAGGAACGCATATTTTGACATACACTTTATTCAACTAAGTAAATTTAATTGAGGATAGGTTATTCTACCTATTATTTTTTCTGTTTACTTTTGCCTATCATTCTCCAATATCATTAGATCAGAATCTCAAGAAGAGAAAGAAAGATAAATGTTAGTTAATATTTTGATCTAACGATATTGGAGAGTGGTAGGTAGGGGTGAAACTGGGTCAGGCCAGCCTACAAGGGCCTACGGTACATCAGGCTAGACCTGACCTAGTATATTTCGTAAAATAAGCCGGGCTTGGGCCTTGAAAAAACTTGTTTAATAAATAGGCCGTAAGCCCACTTTAACAAGGCATGGCATATAAGCCTACATGGCGGCCTATATTGTACATTTTATTTTAAATAAAATAAAATAGAATAAGAATGTTTTGAAAATTTATATATATATATATATATATATATATATATATATATATATATATATATATATATATATATGTGAGAAAAACATTTTTCAAGCAGCTTGAGATAAGTTTATCTCCGGTTACCTCAAAATTGTGTCGTTTTATTTATTTATTTCCTTATATTAATTGATTCACCTTTGAATGATTATGATTTCTTTTTTCTCTCTCTTTCTTCATCACCATTGATCCATCTTTGTACAGTTATGATTTAGTAGCCGGAGATCAAATTATCTCAAGCAGCTTGAGAAACGATAAGCTCTATATATATATAAATAAGTTTAATCAATTGCAATTGTTTATAACTTAATTATATTCGATTATATTTTAATAGAAATCTGACTTTATTTTTTATATAGGAGGAACC